GGAGCTTTGCGACCAGCTACCCCTCTGTGAGGTGAGGAGAGGGCTCCTATACCGTATTACGAAGGGACAGGGAGGAGCGAAACTGGTGGCCCAGCTCCTGGTGCCCCAAGTGTACCAGATACACCTGTTACGACTGCCCCATACTACCCCCCTTGTAGGGCACCTGGGCCATGAAAAGACAGCAGCCAGGTTGACAGGGAGGTTCTTTTGGCCATATCTCTACCGAGATGTAGAGCAATTCTGCACCACTTGCCCAGAGTGTCAATGGGTAAGCCTAAGAAAACCCCCTAAGGCTCCTCTCCATCCCATGCCTGTTATCGGGGAGCCTTTTACATGGGTGGCCTTCGATATTGTGGGCCTATTGCCCAAATCATCTGTGGGGCACCAGTTTATACTAGTATTGATCAACTACACGACTCGTTACCCGGAGGCCATCCCTCTGAGGTCAGTAACAGGCCCTTGGGTGGTGGAGGAACTCCTTAAGTGAGATTGTCACGGACCAGAGTACAAATTTTATGTTGCACGTCATGAGCGGTCTCTGTCAAGTCCTGCGTATCAAGTATCTGTGCACCTCAATATATTACCCGCAAACAAAATGGGCTAGTGGAGCATTTCAACAGGACCCTTAAGGTTATGATCCGGTGGTGCACGCAAGAGGATCCGCAGCAGTGAGACGTGCTGATTCCCCCGCTGTTGTTTGCAATAAGCAAAGCTCCCCAAATGTCGTTAGGCTTCGCCCCATTTGAGCTAGATTTTTGGCATACCCCTCAGGGCCTATTGGATGTGGTTAGGGAAGGATGGGAAAGAACAGAGGAAGGAGGAATCCCTTCCTCCCAGTAAGTACAGGCACTGAGAGAGTGTCTGCAATAGGCAAACCAAGTGGCAGGGGATAACTTAAGAGGGGCCCAAGAGCAACAAAAGTGGCAATTTGATAAGGCCATGGTAGAACATGAGTTCCAAGTAGGACAGAAGGTGCTGGTGCTGCTCCCCAGCTCCACGAGTAAGTTTCTGACCTGCTTGCAAGGGCCGTTCCAGATTGTCCAAAGGGTTGGTCCAGTCAACTATGAGGTCCTGAGACCTGGCCACAGAAGAGAAAGACAAATCTATCATGTAAAGCAGTGGTGAGAGCCCAAAGGGCTCCTAGCTATGCCAATACAAGACAGCAAGGAACTGGGTAGGACCCTAGATGAACCCACAGGGAAAGAAGTATCCATAGGCCGAGGCCTGATGGCCAAACAGAGGGGACAGCTGGCTCGGCTGGTACAAGACTTCTCTGATGTATTCAGCGAGATGCCCAGGAGGGCTCAAGGTGTGGTCCATAAGATCATGACGCCTGACAGGACCGTAGTGAGAGAAAGGTGGAGGCAAATACCATATCACTGATATCCAGTCACGAGAGAAGAGACAAGAAAGATGTTAGAGCAAGGGATCATTAGGGAGTCTCAGAGTCCGTGGCGTAGCCCTATAGTGATGGTCCCAAAGGCTGACAGGACACAGTGGTTGTGCATTGACTTCCGCAAATTTAACACCATCATGCAATTTAACGCCTTCCCTATGCCTCAAGTAGGGGAGCTACTGGAGAGAATAGGGTAGGCACAGTTCTTATCCACTTTTGACCTAGCCAAGGGGTATTGGCAGATACCTTTACATCTGGAAGACAGAGCAAAGACAGCATTTGGGACTCCATGGGGTCTATATGAATTTTGCAGAATGCCCTTCGATCTCAACGGAGCTGCAGCAACCTTTCAAAGGTTGATGGATTGGATACTAGCCCCCCCATCACCAATACGCAGCCACCTACATTGATGACATCATAGTGACATGAGACCAACAAGTGAGGGCACTTCAAGCGGTGCTGCAGGAATTGAGACAGGCTGATGGCCCACCCCAAGAAATGCACACTGGGTTAAGCCGAAATGAAATATCTCGGGTTTTTGGTGGGACAAGGCCAAATGAAACCCTTAGCTGATAAAGTAGCCACCATACAGAGGTATGAGCTCCCACAAACTAAAAAGCAAATGCAGGCATTCTTAGGCCTGACCAGCTATTATAGACGGTTCATTCTGAACTTTGCAGACCTCACAGCCCCCCTTACAGACACCATCAAAGGACGAGACAATGGAGCCATTAAACTAGAAGAGCAAAGAAGGGCCTTTGAAGAAGTCAAATGGGCCCTTTGCAGGAAGGTGGTTTTACACAAGCCGGATTTCTCAATGCCATTAGTCCTACAGGTCAACGTGTCAGGTCAAGCACTGAGTGCAGTCTTGTCACAAAAAGTGGAGGGGGCTGAAAGACCCGTAACTTATGCAAGCAGGAAACTAAATGACCACGAAAGAAGGTACATCACCATTGAGAAGGAATGTCTAGCCCTGAAGTGGGGAATAAAGTATTTTCGATATTACCTGCTGGGTAGAGAATTCACGGTCATAACAGACTACGCTCTCTTGAAATGGTTGAAAACAGCTAGAACAGATAATGCTAAGATAACACTTTGGCACTGCAGCCATTCCAGTTCTCCATACAGTACAGGCCAGGAATGAATGATGTGGCAGCTGATTTTCTGTCCGGCTGCCATTCAAGGAACACACCGGAGGACTCTCAAGACCATCGAGAGAAAGCCCTGCTATGAATGCATCTGGTACCAGGTAATAATGGAAGAGTGCCTAGCAGCGTCTTGAGGTGGGGATATGCAAAAGGGGCAGTAAAAGCCCCTTTAGTGGGTCCCAGACCCTCGCCCCACGCGGCCCGATACTCACCGCAGAGGCCCAGTTGAGCAGCAGCTGGGAGGGAACACGGACGCAGGCTCCGTGATTCCGGAACTCCCTGAAGCTGTGGATCAACAAGGGACAGGGGCAGAGCTTCAGCGAGACACGGGCTGCTCAAATAGCAGCTGGGAGAGCAGCTGAGCACCCAGCAGGGGCAGAGGAAGACGCCGGCCAGGAGACACCAGGAGCTTAACAGAGTATTGCCCGGCTGGAGAGCAGGCAAGAGGAATGGAGCAGTGACTGAAGGGCTCTGGCACAGTAGGGAAGAAACCCAAGGCAGGGGAGACAAGAGATGCTCAGGAGCGATGCCGCAGCCCCACCAGGGAATACAGGTACAGTGGCTGGGGAAGGCAGCAGGGAACTGCTAGCTCTCACAAGCAGCTTGGCAGGGAGAAAAGAGCAGCCCGGCGTGGGAACTGCGTGCCCCTCCAGCTCAAGAGGAGCAAAAGAGCGACCCCAGGTCAGCAGGGATATGGAGGAGGTTGCGCTGGGAAGAAGGATAGGGGAGGGGCACAGGGCAGCTGCCCACCCCCATAATCATTAGGAGGGAAGGGATGAGCAAGTCCCCCCGCTTTCTCCTTTCTCCTGTGTTTTGAGTAGCAAGTGGGCACTGGGAGACAGGAGCCCAGGGGCCTGTTGGTAGACACTGGATGCTTTCTGTTAAATTCATGTGAAGTCCTAGTCAGCCCTAAGGCAGGGCAGGGTTATGTAGCCAATGCAGCCTGAAGCTGAGGAACCGGCTGGGGGAGGAAGATTGTACTGGCCAAGAAGGCCCGACCCATCCCAGGGCAGGCAATCTGGATGAGGGGAGATATCATCCAGAGGAATACCTGCAGAGTGCAGTGTTTGTCCAGGCCGTGGCCATGGTAAGGGTGGGGTAAAGGGAAGGTTTGGAGCCCCACGAAGAAAAGACTGGGGTTGAGACCTCTTTGCTTTTGTGGGCCACCTGAAGGGAACTGTCTCCCCAACAAGGAACATCAAAGACTTGGCAGATGAGTAGAAGCAGCACCCATACCAACTAGGTGGCACCCGAGCCCAAGTCTTACTCTGACGTGACTTGTGGGCAAGGCACCTATCAAGAAGAGGCCGAATCCCTACAACACCTACAAGTGACAGTTATATGTGAGAAAATATGGTAATGTTCTCTGTAAAACCTTCCCGTTTTATTACTTCTTCAATGTTCACTTCATTTGCATTCATCTCTTCCTTATTCATGTAATGAATTCATGAGAGGTCTGAAAGGTGCAATATTACCTTGAACATCTGCAGCCACTTCCATTCAAATATCTCAGTGCTTTACACACATGAGTAAATGAAATGCTGGAAAACTCAGTTGAAATAAAGAAGTAGTGTTAGCCCATTTTACAGAGCAGGAAGCCAGAGCTCAGAAGGACAGCAAGTGGATCTTTGCATTAATTACTTGTAAAAGTTTACCCTAAAAATCATATTATTAAAACTCTTTCTGCCTTTGATTATAGCATATCATTCTAGACCTCAATTAAATAAATACAGGTTTGCCTGAGTAGAATTTTGGGAAAGGATTGGCAAAAATGAAGCTGAAAAGAATGGAAACATGGTTTCTTAAACCACAATTCTGTCAAAGGTGAGAGGGTTGAAGTGAGGGGGAGTGAGCCAATACTTCCTTAGCATCTTTCCTCTCCCTCACCTAACTGTGTAGAAACCTATTTGTGTGAATCCTACATCATCTTCCTGTCAGCCCATAGGATTAATTGATTATACGGTCTCCACTATCTCAAAGCCAAAAGGAAGTGGAGGGTAGCTTGGGTACAAATAAGGGGACTCTGTTTTCAAGAAAAGATTGAGAATGCATGGTATAGCAGGGTGGTGCTGATCTCTGCAAACATGACTTGAGATCACCAAGTAAATCTGACAGATTTAGGGACAGGTTCACAACATTATACTATGCAACATAAGTTCAACCTTACCATAGCATACGTAAATCATCACCAATGATACTGTTGAATCTATTGGTTAAACTACACTTTCGGAAAACTCAGGAGATGCTAATCAAAACAAAGGCAACAGAAAATAAAGCACCTACAAAAAGAACTGCTTTTCCAATGCTGCACATCATCTCAAAGGTTTTCACAAGTGCAAAGCAATATTATACAGCTCAGCAGAGCCAACTATGCAGTTTTACTGAGGAATAATTCATTGGTTTGATTCTTTCTGAAACAGAATTATATATTTGCGGACCAGTATATTCTGCTGGTGAGGAATATTTTTCTTGGCAGGAACCCAAACATCAAAATGTAGGCTTTTGTAGCTGTGGTGAGTAATCCGTCAACAGGGAAACCATGACAGCCTAGAGGGGGAGAAAAAAAAATCTAGTTGCATTGAAAACAGATACTTAAAGAAAATAAATAAGGAAAAATATTTTTTAGTTCTAAAAACTCATGTTGAGAATTATTTTCCCAACATCAACGTCATGCTTAGATTTGTTTTCTAGAATCTCCAGCACTGAGTCATAGAGAAGCTAAAAATTAATTGGAATGCTCTGTTTGGTGGGCTTCCTTTCTATGTACTGTAATGAACAGAAATGGAGAAACTCAAACAAAAAGATACTAGAACCAGTGTACCTAGTATGCCAAATCCTAAAGTGCTTTCCATTGGCCAAATTCTGTTCTCGGTTAATCCTGATCCATATCCGAGTGTATGGGAGCAGAATTTGGCCATCTGCAGTTTGACCATCTGCAATAAATAGGGCATGGGTGAGTGGGACACCCACCATGGGACCTGCTTAGGAGGTAGTGCCAGAATCCCCCCATAGTGGGTATGTTAGCAATGATAAGGAACACTCTGCACTGTCCATGCTTACCATAGGGGCTTCGCAGTGCAGCACCATACTCCACAGCACCAAGGAGTAATCTGGAGGGGCATAGGACGAGTTGGGCAAGCAGAATGGTGCTTCCCTGCCCCCGGATACACTGCTTGATGTGGCACTGAGCTGCCCGCATTCTGGTGGGGGAGAGGATTCTGGCTGTGCTCCCCTGCCCCCACCCTTGAAGCTTTTGCACCAGTGGAGGTAGCCCTGTGCTGCCCCTGCCTGGTGCCATAGCAAGTACCATTCTGCTTGCCTCACTCACCCCTGGCCCCCAGGTACACTTTTTGGTGTAGCACTGTGTGGGGGCAGTTTGGGCTTCCTGCACCACTACAAAGACTTTTGTGGTGCAACCATCCTATCTGTCTCTCTCCGCACTCCCCCGGGAACTTCTGCAGCAGTGGGGGAAGCTCTGTGCTGCTGTTTTCCGACCACAGGTACTGAACAGTGCAGAGGGGAGGGGTAGGAGGTCGAGATCAAGGCCCCCCCTGGTGAGGGAGGAAGTGGGATAGGAGCAAGGACACGCACTGGGGTGAATGGGGCCCCAGGACCAGAGCAGGTCATGGGACAGAGCTGCAGGTGACTCATCCAGACAAACGGGGGGCAGGGGGGGGAGGGGGCTCCCTGCCACTGCATGCACCCCTAGAGGAGGCATGGGGGGGCACGTGTCCCCAGATTTATGTGTTGGGTGGAGATGGGCTGCCTGGTGCAGGTTGGGGCTCTGTGTCCTGCTGTCTTTGCTCTGGGAACTGTGCAACGTCATGTTCTGTATCCTGCCACCGAGTGGGCAGGGGATGTGTGGCACAGCCAGCGCATGGCTCCCAGGGCAAAGGCAGCAAGGCACAGAGCCCCAGCCTGCAGCAGGCATCCTGTCTCCGTCCCATGCACAAATCCAAGGGGCACATGCCCCCCCATGCCTCCCCCAGGGGTGCACACAGCAGCAGAGTCACCTCCCTCCATGCCCCTGGACGAGCTGCCTGTGGCTCCATCCCATGACCTGCCCCACCCCACCCCAGGGCCCCATTCACCCTAGCACCTGCCCCTGCCCCACTCCCTCCCTCACTGTGGGGGCTTGATGTGCCCCTCCCACCTCTTCCCTCTCCCCCCGCCCCTTCCCCTACACAGACTTACTCGCTGGGTGCTATCTGTGTGTGTCTGTGTGTGCCTCTCTCTGTGTGTGCCTGTGTCTGCCCCTCACTCCCCAGCCACAGCCCCCCAGCCCTGCTGCTGCCCCTCCTGTCAGGACGTGCGTGGACCCGCCTCTTCCCAGGCTTCAACCCCCACACACACACCCCACATCCACACCCCAACCATACAAAATACCTGCATAATTTTGCATAATTTTGAGTTTTTAGCTGCAATTAAAATTGCGATTAATTGTGACTAATTTTTTGAATCACGCAACTAATCACGATCAAATTTTTTTATCGTTTGACAGTCCTAGAAATTACCCTAGTTTGTCACTCTTTCATAGCAATATCTGACTGCAAGTGGGTGCTTAGAGCTAGAGCTTTGTCAATTAAAGGATTTTTTCAGATTACTGGCTAAACAGAATTTTTTTTTTAATCATTTGGGGTTGACTGAAATGAAATATTTTAGTTTTCTGGCTGAACCAACCCAAAATATTATTTTTGACTGAAGGGAAACTTTTTGTTCAACTCCAAATAAAATGTTTTGCAGGAGTAGGACACTGTCATTTCCCTGCCTTTACTTGTGGCAGGTTAGGGTGGTTTTGGTATCTTTGGGCAATATGCTTTGCAGCTGTTCAGCTGGGTCGATTGTGTAGTTTTAGAAATTGTTCAGACAAGAACCTGTATGGGATGGTTCAGAAAGGGATGATCCTAAATCAGGAGTGGGCAAAATGTGGTCTGCAGGCCGGATGTGGCCCACTAGGCCATTCTATCTGGCCCACGGGGCCCCTAAACATTTTAGAAAATTAATATTTATCTGCCCTGGGCTACCTGTCATGCAGCCCTCGATGGCTTGCCAAAACTCAGTAAGCAGCCCTCCGCCTGAAATAATTGCCCACCCCTGTCCTAAATTAAGTGGGGGCTTGGATTAGATAACCTCTGGAGGTCCCTTCCAGCCATTCTTTTCTATGATTTTATGTTTTATTTTACTTTTAGGAAGCTTTGTTTTTTCTAAATTAAATTTAGTCTTGAAACAGTTTCAAAATTAAAATCAAGACAGTTTGATTATTGGGAGGTGGTGGGAGGGCAGGGGGAGTAGGAAGGGAGGGTCAGCCAAAACTATTAATTGAGCATGGTCCAAATTCATGAATGACTGTAGTCAACTCAAATGTGCATTTTTCATTGATTTGTCCAAAATTTTTCAGCCAGTGCTCCATAGAACAAATATAGAGCTTCTCTCAGAAAGCTAGTGACTCAATCTGTTTTCTCATCACTCAAGGAACTTTCACTATCTTAGAATTGTTTGTTCAATTGTTATAAAATCTACAGTAAATAATAGTTGTAAAAATGTGACAATTATTTTCTGAAATATTAAAATCTGAGAGTTGAGTTAGGGTTGGTGTTAAATGCTGAATGTTCCACTGTGCTTCATATGCAGTCCTCACTATTGTTTGGCCCCATAACTCAATGTATGGTTTCAGTACTTCAAAACCTTCCTCACATAGCCCTTGTTTAGGCAAAGTTCCCATTGATTTCATTTCAAGTCTGCCTGATAGGACAAAAGCAGCTCTGTACAGATATTAGAAACTGTAGCCATTACAGAACTATTTTTGGTATGTCTAGAGTATTTAGAGCATTTCAAAGCAGTGGGACTATATTAATCAGTACTGTTGATGACTGCAAATTATTTCAGTATAACAGTGCTATTCATTGATTTCACTTAATTATAACACTTGGGTAGAACAACAGCCAATTAAAATGAAAATAGTCAATATGAGGGGTCTAAGATACTATACTGTTCCTTTATAAAATATCTGATGTCATTAAAACTGTGCTGTGTTGATACGTTTCTTGAAACATTTGTATTAAGGTCCTTATTGTACTGAGGAGCCATTCTAAATGTAAAGCTGGACGAAAGGCAGAAAACATCAGTCTACTTTTTAGCCTCTAACTGGTCTTATTTTCTTTACCATAATTGTCCATTTTCTGTTTTCAGCCTCCTGGAAAACCAGTGACCGTGAAGAATAAAATACCCTGTCATCAACTTCTTCTGGCTTTCTTGGTAAGCAATGTAAAAATGTCCAGTCGGAAGCAGCAGCTTTTGCAGTCTGTAGATTAAAAGGACAGAAAGGTGAGCAGTTTGATGGAGATATAGCATAACTGGTGAACATGTTACCAAACTGTGGGCCAGATTCTGATCCCATTTATGTTGATGGTGTACTCAGAACAATATCATTGGCTTCAGATGAGTTACTCTGAATTAATACTGATAGGCAGAAGAGAAGAATCTTGGGTGAAATCCGATCTTCTTTTAAATAAATGGGAGATGTGCCATTGACGGCAAAGGAGTCTGGATTTCACTCCTAGCCTTTTGACATTGAAAGTGGAATAACATTGTGTTGAACCCGGCTGACAGTTCAATAAGATCATTCTGTAATGTAAAGCCATATGCCAATACAATTTATGAACAATGGCAAAAACTACATATTGAACCTCATCTAAAAAGGCAATGGTCAATTATTTTGACATCAGTAACTCATAATACATTGATCTAATATCTAAGAAATGGATTACAACATTTTAAGCAAGATGAGATATGTTTGTTACCAGGATTCTGGAAACTGGAGTTAAAATACAGTCAATTAAAACACTGCTTCTAACAGAGATGGAAATGTCTTGTTTTATCTTTAATTGTAAAATTTGTATTTGTTTCCATTCTCTCTAACTACTGTTGCGCTAATAAATATTTCAACCAAATGGGTTTTTAAAAATATTTAATACTTTCCCTATTTAGAGATATACACAAATCTGCCTCAAATCATGCCCTGCACATGGCCTTTATGAATTGCAATCTGAGTGTTAATTCTACTTAGCCTAAATGAGATTTGAAGGGCCTTCTAATGCACTGTGGATATAACAAGGTGGGTAGAGGGGCAGAGACAGACAGTCCTTAGAGTGAAAAGTAAAGGATAGGCTCTATTCATGGCCCACATTTGTGTGCTATAAGAAAGTCTCCATCCGGAAGGGCCAGACTATGGGAAGGGGCTAAGCAAGAGAAGCCACAGATAATTCAAACATCACTTTGTTCGGTCAGCTTTATGCTGGAGTGAAGGGTGTGTGTGTGTGTGTGTGTGTGTGTGTACACATGTACACATGCACATCTTTATGATCCCACCCAACAGATATGGCATGCATACTTCAGTGGGGCTGATCAGTAAAAATGTACTCTATAAAAGAAGATGAGAAATACTAAACCTGATTTTTACCTGCATTGTGATCTGATAACCTTGAAAAGCCCTCAGTCTCTCTATCTTTTCTTGTTCTTGTCCCATGCTTATCCAGGTGTCTGTAACTAAAACATTGGCTCCACTTGCAGCTTCCAAGGGATCAGTTGTGAGAAGAAATTTGGTGCCATACTAATGTGGATAAGGTAGGAGAGGTTAGACAAATTAATTTAAGGCACACAGTAAATCATATTTAACTTATTAGGCTCATACCTCTTTGGAATACTGTTCAGCTATTTTAATGATCCTATGGTCTGGTTCAAAACTCTGAAAAAAAACAAATAGATAGTATTATCTATATAATGATATATTATCATTATTATTTTTAAGCTGTTTGGAAAAACATTGGTGGATGTAATTCTCCATCAAAGAATGCAGTTTTGCCAACACTGAAACACTTGATGAAACTGTTGAATATACTGAAATTTTGATTTGGAGAAAAATCAGAGAAAAATATTCTGACTATGCTGAAAAGCCTCATTTCAACATTTAAGAAATGAAATGTTTGCAATTTAATTTGTTTTTGCTTTGAAATGATTCATTCAAATGTCATATTATACAATATAAAATAAGAAGTTGAGATTAAAATAAAATGATTGTGTCAACATGAAGCATTTTAGTTGATGTGACATCATTTTGCTTTTTATATTTGCTTAGTGGGGTCAGAATTTTTAAATGTTTGGGATTTTGAAAATCCAGTATTGAAATGTTTGACAAAAATGGAATTTCCATCCTCCTCCCAACTCAATCTTTTATGTTCTAGTCCAGGGGTGCCTAATCCAGCTAGAGTGCAAGGCCAGTCTGCAGGCTAAATCTGGAGCATGGGGCTGGACCACAGGCTGGATCTGGAGTGTGGGGCTATGTACCTGGCTGGAATCTGGTAGCTGCAGCATCAATTACTGCAGCTGCAGGAGCCACCACTCCACCCGCTGCCAAATTTCCATCCCTATGGGAAGCCCTACAAGCCAAATGATGTGATTCTGCACTGTGGATTTAACCTGTTGAGCTCCACATAGATGGAGACATTTAGCGGTAAATCCAGCAGCAGCAGCATTAAGTGCCCTGACTCCAGGAGCTGTGGTAATTAATGCTGCCTCAGTTCACTTCGCTGTCAAATTTCTGGACCCACAGGCTGGATAGCTTGGCTCTGTGGGTGCCATTCAGCTCACAGGCTGTCTCTTGATCACTCCTGTTCTAGTCAGCATTCAGAGATCATCATCAGGACCAGGACCTCATTCAATTGAATGCCTCGCAACAGGGGTGTTAAACTCATCCAATCCCAGGGCCTGGATGAGGGGCACAGGGCTGAATGGGTCCACAGACCAACCCCACTGCCAGATCCAGCCAGCAGGGCCAGTCTGGTGTGGGTGCTACGTACAGCGTACTCTTTGGCCTGGTCCCGTGTACTGCCTGCAGTGTAAATATTGGCTCCAGCCCTGCGCACTGCATGCAGCATATACTTGCCTGAGCCCTGCAAGTGGCACGCAGTGTATGGGACTGGTCTGAGGCTCACACTATGCAGGCATCTGCACTGGACTAGGACTTCATGCTGGCTCTGGCATGTGGGGTTGGTCAATGGGTCCAATCTGGACTGACCCCAGATCCAGTATTCAGGGCCTCTCCAACACTGCTGTTGTATATAGCGCATGCCCCAGACTGGCACCGTGTGCCAGCTTCAGCCCCCGTACCATGTGCAGCATGAACCTGGCAGGCTGTATGTGCCACAGGCAGTGCACAGGGCTGGGGCCAGCACACATTGGATGCAGCTTGTGAGTTCGAGACCCACAGGCAGCACTGCAGGCTGGATGTTAGAGTTCCATGGCCCAATCTTTAACACCCCTGCCTTACAAGAACAACCAGTAAGTCCCAATCACTAATGAAGCCACAAAAGGCAATCAGAGATGTCATAAGGCAGTGCTAACTTAATACAAGAGAAAGCAAAAAAAAAAACTTGCTGTCTACTTCCTGCAGTTTTATATTCCAAAGGTAAGTAAGTATTCTCTGTCAACTGCTCATGCTATACACAAGTAAATAAGCCAAATTTACCGTATTTCTCATAGACACATTTCTTCTTACTTTTTTGAAAAAGGGAAGGGGATTTTTTACTCTGACCTAACTTAAAAAAACTTTGGCTATGCACTATGCCACAGGTCACTGGTAGTAAGATGTGATAGGGAAGCATTGAAACAGTGAGATTTGTTTCCCTGTAAACTACTTGGCGTAGGGATCTCATCTCTTTTTTTGTATGAAACTAATATGCTTATTTCAGTCCTTTTATAAACACATGAGAATTCATCTTTTCTCCACTGTGGGGTAGACTGGGGATGCACAATGAGGAAGGAAAGGAAGGGAGATTCTTCATACTCTTGTGGCCCATGTACAGCCCCCAGGTTTTGCATTGTGTGTATTGGAGGAGCTACTAGCAATATGTTCCCCTGGGAACAATTCATTAGAGTGTGGCCATATCCAGGTTTCTAACCAGTAGTATTCTGCATAAGCTGAAAGGTATCACAGCTTGTTGTCCTCACATAATAGGAAAGCTCCATGAGGCACTTACAGTGCCCTTCTTCCTATGAGCAGTGAGTAAATGTCATGTTCTATCCCACATGAGTATTTATATGGCACTGAATAAAATCTTTAAATTTTGTCCCAGCATGCATTGTGTTCAGTAGAAAATCTGTGATGGATTATCAGGGATGGTCCTATATCCAGGGTGGCCAAAATTACATCCAGGGGATTATCAAGGATGGTCCAAAATTATATCCAGGGGAGTTATTTCAACTCTGCACATGTGTGACTGAGATGAGATTATGACCCATTGTGCTTAAGTGAAGATGCATTTCTTTCTCTTATCAAAAACTAAAGAAACTAAAGAAAACCTAATTATCTTAACTAGGGGGAAATTATGTTCTCAGGTACACACCTGCAGCTCCAGTTCAAGCCTCTGGGAAGTACACAAATGCCTGAGAACAGAATTGGGCCAAAGGAAGTTTGACTTCCTTTCCTCCAAATGGAAAATTTTCTTACCTTTGGAGTAGCAACATTTAGATGCATCCCAAGTTTAGCAGCACTCATCATGATGGAGTTCAGCACATTGTTTCCATCACCAATCCAGCTTATGGTAAGCCCATTCAGGTGGCCATAGTGTTCCTACCAAACAAATCACAATGTTACAATTCCAAATTGGGGGATTGAGCAAGCAAGTAGGGATGAGTGGGTTTAGTGCAGGAGTGGGCAAAATACGGTCTGCAGTGCTTTGCATAGGGCCAAGCTCTACCTGGGCCAGACTGTGCCACACTCCAGCCTGCACTTGCCCTACAACTGCTGACACCGTCTCCCCAACCCCAGCCAGCATGCACAACTTCCTGGTGGAGCTGCTCCTGTCACTACTGCAGCTGCCCAAGTATTGCTTGGTTCCTCGCATCTCCAGTGGTTCCTCCTCCTGCCCCTGCTGTGTCACTTCAGGCAGTAGGTAGCATGGTGACCATGGAGATTCCCTCTCACATGCACACCCCATACCTTCCCTTCGCCACTCCCCACCAACGCACACATAATATACAAGAGTAAGACTTTACTTTGAGCTAATATGCAATCACCTGTATAAACACTACTAAAAAAACCCAACAAATCAGGGCAAAAATTATTTTTTGAAATGAAATTAAAATACGTTTTAGTAGATGTTTGATATTTAATATACGACTAGCTTTTCATCTATATTTTGTTAAAATTATATCTTCTGAACAATTTTATGTGTGCAGCTCCTGACAATTCACCACAACTCCTTAAGTGGCCTGCTGTCAAAATAATTGCCCACCCCTGGTTTAATGGCTGACAAGAGGCAGATTCAGTGCAGCTGAATTAAATTTTACAGAAGGTGCAGAATTGCTTTTGACTGAGCCTGTATACAGCAGCTGCAGTTCACCGAATGAATGAATCCGTTGTCTAACACCCAGACCAGAGTGTTACTGCTTTGCATGAACTCAGAGTCTGATTTCAGTGTTTTTACAGTAAAAAATAAACAAACAAAAATATATATAACTAGATATGTGTAAAGTGTTTTTAAAAGGTAAAGGGTAGACTTTTCAAATGCTTCTAGGTGGTGTAGGTGCAGAAGCTATATTGAAAGTCGATGAAAGTGAATACTCCTAAGACACTTAGGCCAAGTCTGTGCAGTAAACTTCTGGAGTCTAGCAGCAGTTCCCTCAATCCATGAAAGCGTGTGCTCTATATCTTACTTAGTCTAGGATGGTGCATATCTACTCTGACTTCTGACTGACTTCAGACTAACACAGCTAACTACTTTGCACAGATTAGAATCATAGAAAATTAGGAGTAGAAGGGACCTCAGGAGGTCATCCAGTCCAACACCCTGTTCAAAGCAGGACCATCCCCAGCTAGGTTATTCCAGCCAGGGCTTTGTCAAGCCGGGACTTAAACACCTCCAAGAATGGAGATTCCACCACCTCCCTGGGTAACCTGTTCCAGTGCTTTACTAGCCTCCTAGTGAGAAAATTCTTCCTAATATCCAACCTAAACCTCCTTTGCTACAACTTGAGCCCATTGCTCCTTGTTCTGTCACCTGTCACCACTGAGAACAGTCTAGCTCCATCCTCTTTGAAACCCCCCTTCAGGTAGTTGAAGGCTGCTATTAAATCCCCTCTCAGTCTTCTCTTCTCCAGACTAAATAAACCCAGATCCCTCAGCCTCTCCTCAGAAGCCCCCTAACCATTTTAATTTCCATGCTGACTGTTCCTGATCATTTTTTTTTCTCTTCTAAATGCTTAGAAATGGATTCTATGAGGACTTGCTCAATGATTTTTCTGGGGACTGAGGTGAAGCAGACTCGTCTGTAGTGCCCTGGATTCTCCTTCTTCCCTTTCTTAAAGATGGGCACTATATTTGCCCTTTTCCAATTATCTGGGACCTCTCTGGGCCACCACAAGTTGTCAGAAATAATGGCCAGCTCCTCTGCAATCACAGCCAGCTCCTTCAGCACCCTCCGATGCATTGCATCTGGCCCCATGGATTTGTGCACATGCAGCTTTACTAAATAGTCCCTAATCTGTTTCACTGCTGAGGGCTGTTCATCTTCTCCCCAAACTGTGCTGCCCGGTGCAGTAGTCTGGGAGCTAACCTTGGCTGTGAAGACCAAGGTAAAAAAGTCATTGAGTACTTCAGCCTTTTCCTCATCCTCTATCACTAGATTGCCTCCCACATTCAGTCAAGGACCCACAGTTTCCCTGACCATCCTCTTGTTGCGAACATACTTGTAGAAACCCTTGTTACCCTTTACATCCCTTGCTAGCTGTAACTCCAGTTGCACTTTGCCCTTCCTTATTCCATCCCTACATGCCTGAACAATGCTCTTATACTCCTCCCTAGTCATCTGTCCAAACTTCTGCTTCTTGTAAGCTTCCTTTTTGAGTTTAAGATCACCAAAGAGTTCCCTGCTAAACCAAGCTGGTCATCTGCCATATTTACTATTCTTCCTGCATCTTGGGATGGTATGTTCCTGGGCCTTCAGTACAGTTTATTTAAAATACAACCAGCTCTCGGGGACCTCAGGAGGTCATCCAGTCCAACACCCTGTTCAAAGCAGGACCATCCCCAGCTAGGTTATTCCAGCCAGGGCTTTGTCAAGCCGGGACTTAAACACCTCCAAGAATGGAGATTCCACCACCTCCCTGGGTAACCTGTTCCAGTGCTTTACTCGCCTCCTAGTGAGAAAATTCTTCCTAATATCCAACCTAAACCTCCTTTGCTACAACTTGAGCCCATTGCTCCTTGTTCTGTCACCTGTCACCACTGAGAACAGTCTAGCTCCATCCTCTTTGAAACCCCCCTTCAGGTAGTTGAAGGCTGCTATTAAATCCCCTCTCAGTCTTCTCTTCTCCAGACTAAATAAACCCAGATCCCTCAGCCTCTCCTCAGAAGCCCCCTAACCATTTTAATTTCCATGCTGACTGTTCCTGATCATTTTTTTTTCTCTTCTAAATGCTTAGAAATGGATTCTATGAGGACTTGCTCAATGATTTTTCTGGGGACTGAGGTGAAGCAGACTCGTCTGTAGTGCCCTGGATTCTCCTTCTTCCCTTTCTTAAAGATGGGCACTATATTTGCCCTTTTCCAATTATCTGGGACCTCTCTGGGCCACCACAAGTTGTCAGAAATAATGGCCAGCTCCTCTGCAATCACAGCCAGCTCCTTCAGCACCCTCCGATGCATTGCATCTGGCCCCATGGATTTGTGCACATGCAGCTTTACTAAATAGTCCCTAATCTGTTTCACTGCTGAGGGCTGTTCATCTTCTCCCCAAACTGTGCTGCCCGGTGCAGTAGTCTGGGAGCTAACCTTGGCTGTGAAGACCAAGGTAAAAAAGTCATTGAGTACTTCAGCCTTTTCCTCATCCTCTATCACTAGATTGCCTCCCACATTCAGTCAAGGACCCACAGTTTCCCTGACCATCCTCTTGTTGCGAACATACTTGTAGAAACCCTTGTTACCCTTTACATCCCTTGCTAGCTGTAACTCCAGTTGCACTTTGCCCTTCCTTATTCCATCCCTACATGCCTGAACAATGCTCTTATACTCCTCCCTAGTCATCTGTCCAAACTTCTGCTTCTTGTAAGCTTCCTTTTTGAGTTTAAGATCACCAAAGAGTTCCCTGCTAAACCAAGCTGGTCATCTGCCATATTTACTATTCTTCCTGCATCTTGGGATGGTATGTTCCTGGGCCTTCAGTACAGTTTATTTAAAATACAACCAGCTCTCGTGGATGCCTTTCCCCCTCAGACTGGCCTCCCAGGGGTTTCCTGCCCATCAGTTCCCTTAGGGAGTCAAAATCTGTTTTTCTGAAGTCCAGGGTCCTTATTCTGCTGCTCTTCTTTCTACTTCTTGTCAGAATCCTGAACTCAATAATCTCGTGGTTGCTGCTGCCCAAATTGCCATTCACTTCTACATCCCCCACCTATTCTTCCCTGTTTGTGAGCAGCAGGTCAAGAAGAGCATGGCCCCTAGTTTGTCTCTCCAACACTTGCATCAGGAAGTTGTGTCCAACATTTTCCAAAAACTTCCTGGATTTCCTGTGCATTGCTGTATTGCCCTCCCAGCAGACATCAGGGTGATTGAAGTCCCCCATGAGAACCAGGGCCTGTGATCTCGCAACTTCCACTAGTTGTCTGAAGAAAGCCTCATCTAGGTCATCCTCTTTGTCCTGTGGTCTACAGCAGACACCCACCACACGTTACCCGCATTGCCCTCCCCTCTAACCTTAACCCAGAGACTTTCAACAGACCTATCTCCAGTTTCATACTGGAGCTCTGAGCAATCATACAGCTCTTTTACATACAGTGCAACTCCTCTTCCTCCTTTTCTGCCCTGCTAGTCCTTCCTGAACAGTTTCTACCCATCCGTGATAGTGCTCCAGTCATGCGAGCTATCCCACCAAGTCTCTGTTACTCCAATCACGTCATAGTTCCTTGACTGTGCGAGGACTTCCAATTCTTCTCACTTGTTTCCCAGGCTCCATGCGTTCATGTGCAAACCACCTGAGGTAAGTACTTGATTGCTTTACTTTCTCAGGAAGAATAAGTAGGCCTCCCCTGTTGCTCCCTCCTGATTCTGCTTCCTCCACTTACCACCTCCCTGCTTCCCCACTTACCTCAGGGCTTTGTTCTCCATCCTCCTGCAAACCTAGTTTAAAGCCCTCCTCACTAGGTTAGTGAGGCTAAGATGTTTGCATCTTCTGCAAAGATGTTCTTCCCTCTTTTCTTCAGGTGGATCCCATCTCTTCCTAGCAATCCTTCTTCTTGGATAAACATCCCATGATCAAATAAGTCGAATCCATTCTGGCAACACCACCTGCTCAGCCATGCATTGATCTGCAGGATGCATCTGCTTCTGCTTGGGCCCTTCCCATTGACCAGCAGGAGTGAAGAGTACACCACCTGTGCCCCCGGCCCCTTCACCCTTGCACCCAGAGCCCTGTAGTCACTCTTGACCTGGTCAGGGTGACTCCTGGCAGTACAACTGGTGACCACATGGATGAGCAGCATGGGGTAGTAGTCAGAGGTTTGGATGAGTCTTACTAATCCTTCCCTGACATCTCAGATCCAGGCTGTAGGCAAGCAGCAGTCTTCCTGGGACTACAG